ATAACCCTACCTTTTCCTTTCCCAATTTCAGATATATTCGCAAAAATATATTCAGTGTGTCACATTTCTTATGGTTGCACCCCCGTATCTTCTGTAAGAATAATTGATGGAAACATTAACAATCCTAATATTTTGTGGCAGAATGCCTGAATATGATACTTCACCCATTATTTCTAGTATGCCTTAATATTTTTGCGTTCAGAGATAATAAATAAGATATATATTTGAAATTGAAACGGGAACCTTCCAGCTCTGCCAAAATTTACGGGGTGTTCCATTAAAAAAAATTGTTCTGTATCTGGAATTTGAACATCTTCTACAAGGCTATATTTTCCAACGCAACCTACTGATTTTCTAATTGAGTAAATTATTGGTATTATTTCTGTATCTAAATGTCTTGTTAACAATGATATCAAATCGAATAATTTCCCATTTCATTTCTCACCAAATATCCATTTATCTGGAAATTATATGCCCTATGATATTCATTTTCCACATTTGGTGAATATATACAGAGTGTCATTTTCAACCTCGATTCTGCCTGTTGATAGCATTATCCAGAAATATCGATGATTCCATAGCTGCTGGCGAGCAGTGTTCTCATTGGAGATGATCCCACTTGGTCCATGACTCCATGAGTGTATCATTTGTATCTTTCTGACAGTTGCGAATTTTTGAATCCTACCTCAATTAATTTTACAGAAGATACGGGGGTGTAACCATAAGAAATGTGACACACTGACTATATTTTTGCGAATATATCTGAAATTGTGGAAGGAAAAGGTAGGGTTATATATATATCTGTAATGAAAACGCCTGGGACTATTCAACTGTGCCAAAATATACGGGGTGTTCCATTAGAAAAAACATAATTGGCTGCCGTATCTTTTCAACGTCACCCTGTATAAAATTTCTGATGATGCCAATGGATTCCACGCATCATACTGTATAAATATACGTTTGAAATTTTTTGATACCTCTCACCGTAAAGTAGTCAGAAAATAAAATCGAAATCGGCAAATTTTCAATTTCCCCCTGTATCTCTAAAACGAATGAAGATATCGAAATTTTGATTGTACCATTCGAGGTTTTTCCAAAATCAAACCCAGAACATGTATATCGGTTTTTCGATAACTCCTCTAGTTATTGAGATAGACGGTGAAAACGCCCAATTTTGCCCACCCTGTACATATAGCTAGATGTTATACAGTTGATTCCAAATACAAAAAAGGGGTTTTGTGTAATATCAAAACCCATCTCAAAATTCACACAAAGGAAAAGGATCATAACAGTGATCAAAGAAAGCAGGGGAAAAAATATCATAATGATATTTCCTTATCTAATAATGAAATGATTTCATTGTGTAACTATTGCACAATAAATGTCATCTCCTATGAAATGTCAAATTTCAAGCAGTGACAGAGATCTGTCTAATAGAGCATCACTTCAGAGATAATCATTCTGTGCTTGTTGAACAAAATACTATTTGGAATTCAGGTAATAATTTCAGCATTAAGGCAATAACCTTGGCAATACCTTGGTAATACCCAGCAATACTCAGCAATACCTGGCAATACCTATGAAAATCCACATCAATAGGGCAATAGGCGAGAACACAATAGCACGAATTCAGTTCAAATGTGCATAATAAATAAATATAACATTGAAATAATGTGTACCAGTAGTTTTTTCAACAATAAATGCTGTCATTATCCAAAGAACGCGTTTGCAAAACCATACAAATTTGTGGACCATTCAAAAAACCAATAATGGCGGATACGTGATGACGTAACAAGTATTGGCGTGCATTTGGCAACGCTGTACTGTACCTTCAAAATATTCTACATATTTCCTAACCTAAGAAACCGAACTCCTATATAAACATCAAAACATCAGAGTTTTTCTTTGATTTTTCATTTGCTTAATATTTTCTTGTGTAATCAAAATATTCAAATCATTGTGACTATTATTGTGACATAGTCTGATGGTTCATGTTTATTGATTGGAGATATGAAGCCAGTATTCGAAAAAGCAATCACAATCTTCCAGTAGTTGATTCAACTATGGTTTTTGAATTCTGCAAGTTAAAAAAAACTGACATGAGCTGTTTCATAAAGGTGAAGATTAGTCCAGAACATAAAGTTCGTCCTAAACCATAAAGGGTTGAGGCTGAGGTTCATGAAGCTGAAGAAACTGTAGTCTGGATTGTGCAGTTTCAAAAGGTAAAAGGTACATAAATTCTTGACTTTTTTATAAACTATATTCTTTTATATTCTTAGGTAGATGTAAACACAGTGTGGCTTTCTTATTATGGTTACATGGAAGATCAGAAGAACCCTCTGTAAAGTGTCCAACTCAGTGTCCAAACTACCAAATTTTTGAGCTTCCTATCAACATTCATGCCACTCGTAGAATTAGCACCAAAACAAGTTCCTACCCTCCCAGTGGTTCCATCAAAATTTCTTGAAGTAGTTTTTCAAGTAGATGGAAAACATGGATGCCAAGGATAACTGTTTTTGAAAGAGTTTGATTCTGATTCATAAGCTAATTATTTTGTCCAGAAAACATTCATCCAATTTGTCTCCTAGGGGATTCCAAGACTTCATTCATCAGAATATCAGTGACAGTGATTGTGAATTGGTGCAAGATATAAAAGTGAATCAAAACGAATCATCATTATCAGCATGGTTTGAAGTTTGCTATGGAAGAATTACTGCTTCAAAGTGCAAGACATTCGAAGGTACATTATATGAGCATGAGCAGGAGAATTTTGAGAATAATGGTAGTTTTCAGTTACTTGAAGTGTGATATGACCCTATATTCCTTTAGAAAATTATAAAAGATGCTGAAAATTTGTGGCAAACTGTTAATTCCACCCATTTAATAAAATTATAAAATAACAGTACTACAGTAGTTTTTTTCTTCTCTTATTTCAAAATTGGACTTATTTAGAGCTCACCAGTGTCTTATAAATAACATATTTCATCATACACAACTTCGAAATCCCTTCTCATATTGATCATACACTATATCTTCACAAACTGGAGATGGTAGGTATATGAAATTCATGTTTACTTCTTGTCGAACAACCTAGTTCATTCATATTTTATTGTCAGTGGAATATTGGTAAGAAAGATGAATACCTATCATAACACCAAAAAAGTAATGAAAGTAGTAAGAAAAAAATCCAGTAAGTATAAACCAAGAGAGCACTGGCATATCTAGAAATGATGGAAGATGCAACATCAATTCTCAATGCAAAAAACAAAATCATACAAGCCAAAATTACTAGATAGGTATTGCCACAATTTCATGTAGGGAAAATTTGTCAAAAATGTAAAGGAATAGGTAGTACACAAAAATTATCAAAATGAAGCAAGAATGCTCAAGAATGTTGGTTGAAATTTTCATTTATTGTCCACTTTATGCAGTAGATATAATTAGAACAGTTAAATATTAATAGATATATTTCATTTCTAGAATGAATATAGATGTAGAACATGGAAATATTATATCAATATCTTGTCCAGATCATCACAAAGTTTTCAAGAAAACAAATAAACTTAATCATGATGGTAAAAATCACAAACATATTTGTATATCAATCAGCAACAGTCCTGAGTCATTTTATCACAATATGTTATGGGACTGTCAATTTGGTTCTGGTTCATAGTATTTGATGTCAGTCTCTTCCATGACAGGTTACTTTTCAGGTTCTTCAAGAAAACTTTCTTCAACTGAAACACTCACTGGTACTTCCAAGAATTTTCCTCAAGGAGAGTCAATATGATTTGAGGAAAGTTCCATTTTATCTCATCTCCCAAATTCTCAAGGGATTATTGAGATCTCCTTTTCCGTGCTGAAGATGAAAGTTAGGATTTTGATGGGTGTTTTCTCAGTTTTGGACGTTTAATGAATATGGAATCACATCTTCAGGCATATAAACTCTAGATCCAATGAGTTTTAATTCCACCCAGTTCAACATGTCATATTCAAGCTCATTCCAATTCATAGAAATAAATCATCTTCATATATGTGTTTTTGATGTTTTATTGAATTTCTTTTCTCTCGGAAACTTCTCCAAGTGCTTTATTTCTGATTGAAACCAAAAATTAACATTACAATAATTCGTAAATGCCGCTTTTTTGATCCAATGGGATGTTTCCTTTGAATAAATGGGATCCACAACACTGTTGCCAAATTCAACTCCATCAACTTCGTTCTATTTCGTATGAAATCGTATGACGATAGCGAAAGCATAACGAACTACATATAGAGTACCGGAAAGCGAAGTCGTATACTCCGCTTCGTTTCGCTTTCGCTACGCTTTCGCCATGCGACACAAGTTACAGAGTCCCACTGCAGAAGATATCAAGCGACGTTGCCGGATCACCGTCTAATACTTGTCACGTCACATTAACGCGCGATATTCCAGCTCGTTTGAACGGGATCAATACTTTGCAAATTTTTTGTGGAAAAACTACTTCGAATAAAAATCTGAAAAAAATACCTGAGACTTTTATCGTCATACTAAAGGCCATGGTATTTTTTCCAGAAATTCGTGTTCTCGCCTATTTGGCATTGTTGTTAGGCATTGATAATCATTTTCAGCATTTGAGGATTACTCTGCAAAATCAGGAATATATCAGCATTCCCCAATAAACTAGCATTCAATGCTGAAATCAATAGGTGTACATAATTTTTGAGCATGTCCTCCCCCTCCTGGCATCACGTTTTCAAATCATTCTGTATAGAATTGATGTTTGGGGAGTTTGGTAAATTAAGTGAGCCTTTGTTTTCAAATCATTCTGTATAGAATTGATGTTTGGGGAGTTAGGTAAATTAAGTGAGCCTTGGGTCAATATTATAATGAATAGATGTAGAAATGTAAAGAACTTCATATAAAACTGGAATCTGTTAAAATTCTTAATTCTTTTCAAACCAAGTGCTGAAGATAAACTGAAACAAAATCTTTGATAAATTATTTCTCTAAAACTCACCCCAGGTGTAGCCTTAAACAATGTAGGTGTCTCCACGTCAATGAAGTGATTATTTATTAAAAACTCCCTCATCTTCATAAGTAATTCAGATCTTACTCTCAAATTTCTTTGCATTTGAGAGAATCGCAAATCCAGATATCTGTAACGCATTCTTAAAGATTCCTTAGCTTTTTGGAAGGATCTGATATTAAATGGTAACTCATCTAGTACCTTATTGACTACTATGAGATTTTCCACCTTCACCTCAATTTCACCTGTGGATTGATTTTCATTGACCATATTTTTGGGCCTTAATGAAACTGTTCCTCTGACTTCCATAATTGATTCTAATGGAAGAGTTTTTAGCAACTCCTTGGTACTTGTGTCCTGATGAAATTTAAATAAATCAATCAAGTATTGAACATGAGAGCAGCATTAATATTACTTCATCACTAATGATTAGCTGCGTTTCTCCATATGCATCTCTCAGTACAAGGAATTTATCCATTCTCTGATACTCCAACCAGCCCATAATGGAGACCAGTTCTCCTACATTCTCCTTTCCTAATTCACCACAAGTGTATGTTCGATTCGTATATTTATTCAAGTTGTTCATGGGTCTATTACCTTTTTCATCAACTGAATGAATTTGATTAGGTTCAGAGAATGTTGATTTTGCTTTCTGCTTCCAAGATAAATCTAGAGGTTGCAACTTGAAAAATGTATTATATTAATGGTTGTGCAAAATCATTAAAATTGTATAAACTCACTCTCGAAAAAATCCGTGTATTCAAAGATGGTCTTCCTAAATATTTGCTGAGAAATCGACCTAGGAATGTATGAATACTCATTTTTGTTGATAATTAAGTGAATTTTTATTGAAAAAATATAACCTCAAAATGTCTTCTTCTTCTTCTTCCCTTCAATTTAAATGGCCTCAGCCGTTACCACCGATACAACAAGGCCTGCATGCTCCGTGGGTGACGTCACTTAGTGAGGCCTAACCAGCGGCTCGAAACGACAAGCCCTTATAGCGCTATAAGGCGACCGCGTATTTCGATTTTAGTTTCAGATCATCATTGAGCCGATTTTGCTGTTTTTTGAAGGGCTTCCTTAAAGCAAAAACCAGGATAAAACACAAATATCCACCTACAGCAACCCATTCGAATTAAAAATATATTGGCAAAAATTGTGGTGAAGGTAAACTTCCCACCTACTTATACAGGGCCCGCAGAACATAAACTTATCGTGAGATTGATCGAAAAAAAATTGTGGAAAACTCAGAAAATGTATTTTATTTTGATTGACATGCCGTTTGTTACAATTACCTATATTTATCTCGGAGAATTCCTATTACCTGAAAAAATAACCAGTGAGTGTTTTCAATTTTCTGTTGTTGGATTTTTCTCCCAAGTGGATCGTTACTTGAAACCTTAATTTTTAAGGGTAAAACTGCATTTATCATGAGATGGTTTTTTTTTTGACAATTTTTTTCGGTACTCACGTTTTTTTGTCTGATAAACCGAATAATAGTGAAAATGTGAACAAACCACTATTTATTGAGATATTTCAAGAAAAAATTCGAAATTTCGCCTTCTTTCTCCTCTTGTGTTGGGGGCATTTGAAGTTACTTGCTCTTATTTTGTCATTGGGCACTTTATATACTTATGATGTACTTCGATGGCACTTTTTTATATAGAAAATCCAACAGGAAATATGATTTTTTTGGCGAGTTTTTCATATTTAGTGAACAAGCATTCCAGAGATGACGACCATTTAATCAATAGTCAATCAAAATACGAGATGTCAAATGTCAATAGATTGCTTTCGAATGACATTACACACGCCATTATTTTGAATGATATTCTTCCTTCTTTTCACTAAATATGGATTAATCTCAACAAAAACATATTTATAGTTGAATTATATATAAATTGTCCGATATGATGAAAGAAGAAGGAAAATTTGTTCTAAATGCCATCCAGAAGACAGGTGAAAAAGAAGGTGAAATTTGGAACTTTTTAGTCAAATATCTTCATGATGAATATCATGATAAATGCAGTTTTACCTTTTTAAGTAGAGTGTTTGTAGTTCATGTTAATATGATAGTTGCAATTTGATCATTGGAACGAATTCTACATTCATTGCCACGAGGCAAATGACCGTCAAGAAAATTTCCTTGAATTCAGAGATGATTTTGTTGACTATAATATACGAATACAAAACTAACTGCACAATCAAAGCTTTTCTATTTTTCCTCTACTTATACTTTTTATGAGAGAGTAATTGTCTTCTATTATTAATTCATCATTATAAATCAAGCTCTGTTTACTACTGAACTTAGATGGAGTAAAATCCTCGCGGTGAATTGCATATACCCACATTTTCGATAGCTCCTCGTCCAACGGGAAACTAAAAGCATGAACTTTTGAACCACTCACATAATTCCCCCGACAAAAGGGAACACAACTACTTCTCATACAAAATACACGCAAACTAATGTAAACAAAGCAATCAATGGCCCATACGTTAGTTATATTAGACAACGGTAGAGGGAGTACTTCTTAGCATGAATCGCCTATAGCAAATACTTCAGCCGAGCATATCGAGAATGTGATTGGCATTCTAGCTGAGATGCTAATTATGTTTCGAGAATATACTCCTATTCCCGCTCTATCCACTGTCTTGGAGCCATCAGTGAAAATCAAGGTTTGATGAGGCCATTTTTTCCTTGCTCTTTCGGAAAATACAATTTTGTTGTCTTTCTCCTTTCCTAGTCCCAACTCCTGAATGGGGACAGGAACTATTTGAGATGAGATTGGATATGTATAACAGGGAAGCAAAGGAAGGTATGATAGCTGATGCCGATGTATTGACAAAAAGGAAAATGCGTCAATCAATGGTGGAGTGGTAACACACCCTCTGAAATTGATTCTGGTCATATATAAAGTGTATAAATTAGTAACAAACATACTAGTTGGATTAAAAATGGAGAATAGCTTCAGTAAATATTTACCCGCCAGCCAATACCTCCTGATATCCATCGGTACTTCACCACTTTCCGACAACAGAACAATAGTTGGAGTAGATTTCATAGCTCCTAGTACAATAATCCGTAAGGCTTGAAATTGAATTCTGTCTATCTTATTGAGTAACTGACGGCTGCACATTCCAAACAAAATACTACCAAAATCAAGATGAGATCTTACTAAAGCTTTATATAAAGATAACAAGGATAACGGATGCGCTCCCCACCAAGTTCTGCACAAAGCTCTCAACAGATTTATGCTTTTATATGCACGAGAGCATATTCTCTCTATATGCGGTTTCCACGTCAGTGAAGTATCAAAAATTACCCCTAAATATTTCATTTCTCTTTTCGGGAATTCGGTTACCTCCTATTTCAAAATTTAAAGGCATGTGAACCCGATGGCTTCAGATTTTTGCGGCGACAAGGTCAAATTGAATTCAAATAGCCACTGCTCTATATTAGCCAAAGCTGAATTTATCTCATCTAAAACCCGCTGGAGATCTTCTCCTGAATTGAAGATTGCTATGTCATCCGCGTATTGATAAATTCCTACATTTCCTACTCCACAATTTTGTACTGAGTTAACATATAGATTGAATAATAAAGGGCTGAGAGGGGATCCCTGGGGTAAACCGATGTTAGAATTCACAGGACCGAGAAGTAGTCCAGAACTTGGATCCTTGACTTGAATCTTTCTATTAGACAACAATTTGAAAATGAATTTAGTTATGTCAAATGGGACATCATTAGCCGCCAGTATAGGCATGAGTTTTGTAAGGTTAACATTATCATATGCGCCTGTAACGTCTAAAACTACCATGAAAGCATGTTCTTTTAAGGCTTGTGAGCAATTTATCCTACAATAAACAGATTATCCATGATACCCTTGCCCTTCCTAAAGCCTGCTTGACCCGGATCAATATGACTTAAACTTTCAAAATGCCAATCGAGCCTGTTCTTAATCATATCGTTTCTAAAATTTTGCGAGGACAAGAATTAATTGAAATAGGTCTCCAACCATTGACAGAAGACAAATCTTTTCCTCTTTCAGGAATTGGGCATATACCCAGCTAACAATGCGATGTCGCATGAACATCTATATGACATCGCATGAATACTGCGACATTGAATCAAGTTGTCGCATAGACATCACGGGGACGTACTTTTGTCACACTCATTTGGATGTCGTATCAATATCGCACCGCGATGTCAGAGTAGTATCGCACCACGATGTCTGACGAATATCGCATCATGATGCCACAGAAATATCCCATTTTGATGTCCCTGATCTATGACTATGTAATGTCAATGATATATCAAAAAGTGATGGGATATCAATGTAATGGTATTGATGTTTTATCTATATTCTGTATGGATAAAAAAAGTTTCTCAAGTATAAAAAATATATTTATTAATTAAAAACAAAAAAGCAAATTAACAACAAAAATGAGCTTTCAGGCCCAATACAAATGGTGGAACAAACAAAAAAGTAATTGCCTCTGCTATTCGCATGAAACAGAACATCTTCCTCAAACTGACCACCTCCCAAGGCGACAATACTTTTGTTGGAACTTGGTGTTTTCATCAATGTTCTAGCATCTTTCGGAAGTTCATTCAAAGTGGGGACAGTTCTCAAAATACCTAATAGATGGTTCAATGCAGAATGAGATATGTTGAATTCATTGACCCAAGATATCTCATGGATACTAAAAAGGTATCAAAAACTTTCAGAACAGGCTGTTCTCTAGTTTCATGAATCATCATTTTCTCATTGTGTGAAAACTCTCCACCAATCTGATGAGTATCAATCGAGATATCAATAATTTCCTCTTCATCACTGGAGTCATCACTAGATGAACTTTCTTTGCTAAACTGATTTATTATACCCAATGTTATATCTGTTAAAATATATATATTCAATGTCATTATTTATCAATCGTCGCTTGTGGCGGCAGGAAGTACTAGAGAACAGTCTCTTTCGCATGACTCCACAAAAATGAATAGAGGTCCCTATACAATCATATAAATTCAAGAAATGGTATATTATACAAAAAGGTATACGCGCAATACTTACTATAATGTGCTATAATTTGATCCAGTTTCAAACGATGAAATTAATCCTAATCTAATCACATTAAATCAAGATTATTAATTGCTGCAAAATTAGTTGCTTGCAGGGAAAACCCCTAGTTTATTCAGTCTCTTCTGTGGTTTAATAAAACATACTGTGATAGAACGCAAGGAGAACGTAGTAGTTGATTTGATTTGGCAGTTGACGCGTTGGCGTTGACACTTGACGGGTAAAAATTAAGTTATGAAACAAACAAGAGTCACCGATTGCACAGAATAACAGAACAGTCAGAATGTGTGAAGATGCAATGTAACATAGATGTGCAAATCACATATACACGTCTGTGTGACATCATTAGCTGATGTTCAATTGAGGTCCCTAATAGAGGTCACATCAATATCTTTATATTTTGGTGATATCCCAGAGATATTCGTGTCCTCGCATTGTTAGCTGGGTACTAATGTATTATACCACTCTGAAGGCAGGCTATCCTCTCTTCCACTAAGGAATTCGTTTGATATGTCTATTAAGTGGCCTAGTGCGTGTCGGGAAGATGTTGAAGCATTGAATTTGTTATATAATCCAAGCCAGGACTCGTATCTTTCTTATTGCAAAGAGCGAGTTTTATCTCACTCATACTGAAAGGGTCACTTCCTAATATATTAAAATCTGAATCTCTTGGGAATTCATGCGGAGGCATAGGTGGGGTCAATGCATTTAATAAATCATATCCTATATTACTGTTCAAAGTGTGGGGTCTGTTTGTGGAGTCCAAGGCTCCTGACATCCCTTTCACTGCTCTCCATACTTGTGTTATAGGGGCGAGGATGGCGAAATAGTTTCACAAAAGTTTTTAAACCCAGCCCTTCTTTTGTTTCTGAGTATTTTTCTTGTTTGTGCTCTGATCCTTTTCATTTTTCATTTCAATATAATTTTCTGTGCTACAACCTCTTTGAATCTTGAAAAGGCTCTTCTCCTAATTTTTATCTGTTCTGTACACTCATCATCCCACCAGCGATGTTGTGGCTTGAATGTGTTGAATGATTTTTGGGTAGGTATACTTTGTTTAGCTGCCTCCAAAATAACGTCGTACATTTCTTCATAGGAGCAAGACTCCCTTGACATTAATTGGTTTTCTATTAGAGAATTAAATTTACACCAATCTGCTTTTTTGCAGTTGAACTTCAGGTGTGACGGTTGATCTTGAGCTACGTTTTGGACTACAGGATTGCCCCTATTACACACTATTGGCATATGATCGCTATTGCCTGAATCCTCAACTACTTTGAAATTAAAATCCAATGCTATATTTGCCGAAGATATCACTAAATCTGGTACACTTTTGTGAAAAAATGGTGGATTGATTCTAGTGCCAGAACCATCATTCAACACAACCAAGTTATGATTGTCTGAAAAGTCATAGATAATTTGACCACTTTCTATTCGTTCTGTCAGAACCCCATAAAGGATGCTGAGCATTGAAATCTCCCATAAAAAGAAAAGGGCTTATTACTTTGATTCACTATAGGATGTAATGGTGTTATTGTTAGGGGCAGTAGTTTAACTATGAGCTAAATGAGCTGAGACTTATGATTGAGAAATGGTGAAAACCTCGATATGGGTATCTGAACTACTGTACTCATGTCATGTGTGCTGAATATATTTCATCGGGGAAGACCACTGATTTTTTAAAACGACATTATCGTGAACTCTATACTGAAAAACTACCAGTGAATTAATTTTGAATTTTTTCGTTCATGCTAAGACGATGAAAAAAATAAATTAGTAGGTATATGTCCATTTCAAAACACACAATTCCTGTGCCATTTGAAATTTCATCAATTCATTGGTGTGACTGGTGCGACGTCTTAGTCCCAACACGCCTATTGTCCTTGAACTGACCAATTACACTACAACACTGCAGAATGACGAGGTATCAGAGAGAGATAACTACAGTTCGGGACTAATACGTCACGACTCCACCATCATATTTGGCTGTTTGAAATATCGAATGAAATATGCTGATTTCAAAACGATATAGATTCGATTCCCTTCAACTTCAACTCATAATATTGATTGTACATAAAATGTAAATCATGATTCGTCGATTGAAAGAGGTTTGCACGGATTTCTTCCCTCAGTGGTCTTCCCCATTCTAGGACGAAAAGTAGGCTTATAAAAAGTAATACGTGAAATTGCAGGAGAATGAAGAATAGAGAATACTTTACCCCCATGTTATACATTAGATATTTACGTAATCAGTTAGGAAACGCGTTGTTTTGTGTAACAATGGGATTTTGCGGGACGAGCGAAGACGAAACATTTCGCATGAACAAAAATAATGAACAGTTTTACATGAGTTCTGCCGACTCTTCACACAAAAACTGGTGTTGAAATGAACATTACATCACCAGTTATGTAAAATTTTACTTTACGCAACTGGTAACGTAAAGTAAGACGTTTCAAAACTTCCGTCAGTTTTGAAAAGTGTCAAATTATATGTCGAAATTAGAAAAATAATTTTTTCGTCTCCCTTAAATAAAAAGTAATTTCGAAATAATTTATTGATGGAAGTAACATAAAGTATAGGTATTTGGTTCCATACCACTATAGTTTAGTGGCAAGTGGCAGAAACCAGATGTTAGACAAGGACGTATTTATCGGACCTCCCTATATTTCAATGCGACTATCATGCGACTATTATTTCGTATCCACTGAACTATAACCCTTTCGTATCACTGAAGAGAAAGATAGAAAAGAGCTCAAAAGCGCGGAATCAAGTATACAGGAAGTTTCCTGAAAAAAAAAAATCATTGAAATAGCGAATCACTATATATTATATAGAACTTGTTTCAGGATTTCAGGAAGGAAGGAAAATATTCCCTTTTGCATAAGAAAGGATACCTACTACTTTTTCTAAACAATCCAATCTTCCTCGACCTAAATGAACCTACACCTAAAATACCTATATACTTTTTGAAAACGCGAAAGTCACTTGAGAAAACCATAAAAAATCCTACCCTCGCATGCATTGAGTCCGAGCCACCGGCGTGGCATTCGACGAAAATATTATAGTATGTATGAAAAAGAATTTAATCAAATCTCGTGAGATTCGAAATCTCACAAGGATTATCTGTTGCACCCTGTCTCTAGACCTTAGACATTTCAAAATCAATCAATCAGCTGTCCTCATTGCCTCATTGTCCTCAATAATGATGCAAATTATAATTATTATTGTTTGTTATGTGTTATGTTCAAAACTTTGGAAGGTCAGTCTTTGTGTGTGAAAAATAACAGATTGTGATTGTGAAGGAAGTAATAAAACATACTATTTGTCTAAATATTGTGTTCTAAATTTATTGTTCCTGTAGACTGTAGAGTGTTTATTTAAAGAAGCACAATAATATTCTTCTGAACTCATGAATAGCACAAGTGCTTCGGACTCTAATGGATCCAGAAATTATTTTGTAAACTTCAATCAGGACAGCACGTAAGTTTCTTGATGTCATATTATTAATCATATGTATTATAATGAGTTCATGGTTTATGGGAATTCTCCTGTGAATTGAAATATAATAATAATCCATGTTTGCAATTTTCATCAGGTCAGCAAACTTCAGAATGAGATTGCTAAATTATTCAATGAACAATATATGATCTGGACAATGATAGTAGAGTTCATTCAAAGATAGCACTGGATTTTATGGACATCCTAAGAACATTATTTTCCAGATGCTAGAATACCTACTTCAAATATCTACTTTGAAGTCTACTTATATTCTTATTCTTTTTTGAAATTTTTGTGATATTCAGTATTCCAGAGAAGAAAATTCAGAAGTACTTTTAAGATAATATTATTATAACAACTAACTTCCTTAGATACCCAACAACAACATACAGGGTCACATAATACAATTCATATCAGAGCACCACTATTTATGACTGATGGGAATTATAAACACCTATCAATTTCAAAATTCTTAGGAATGTTCTTTCTGTACTGCTTTAGTGAATATTTTATCTGCAGATTTTTCTTCTGTGGGGATGTATGAAATTTTCAATGAACCTTTTCCATCAATTATCTGATTTAGTGGTACTTCACATCTATATGCTTGGTATGTCCATGATGTTGATCAGCATTTTTGACCAAACTTATTGTGCTCTGATTATCAACAATCAATATTGTAGGATGATCCATAGGAATATTCAATTCCATTAAAAACTTTCTGAGTGAAACAACTTCTTGAGCTGCTTCAGAAGTAGCTACATACTCTGATTCAGTTGTAGACCATGACACACATCTTTGTTGATGCGAAGACCAAGTGATAGGACCACCAGCCAGTGTGCTAATGTTGCCACTTGTTGAGCCTTGTGTATCCAATTCCCCAGCAAAATCTGCATCAGAAAAAGCTGTCAGTATTGTTTATCCTCCAGAGTACATAATGCCTAAGTTCTTTGTCCCTTGTAGATATCACAAGATGCATTTCACAGCTGTCCAATGAGTAATACCAGGATTAACCAAAAATGTACTAACTTGACTAACTGAAAACATTTTATCTGGATGTGACACAATTGCAAGGAACATCAAACTACCTACAACTTCTCAATAGGGAATTTCTCATTCTTGATTTTTCTTCATCATTTTTAGGACACATATCATGTTGCAAGCTGTTATTTGGATCTGCAGGTACTGCACAAGGTTTGCAATCTTGCATGTTGAATTTCTTCAGTATTTTGATGAGGGAATTCAGTTGATTAATGAAAATCTGACTTTCACTAATTCTGGAAATTTCGATTCCTATGAAAGCTTCTGGTTTACAAATCATTACTTCAAATCTGGCTCTTGCAATATTTTGTCAATCAAACTTGTAGATCTGCAGGATAAGAGACCATCATGGAAATATAATGCCAAATAAACTTCTTCTGATTGAAATTCTGTATAGAAAACACATGTCTGATTCCAGTTGATGGAACTTGAAAGTTTCCAAGAACCCTACAAATGTTTCATTCCAGTTACCTGGGATTGTTTCAAACCATATATAAGTTCCTTTGTAACACACACTAAATGAGAATTTTCTCTTAATCCTTCTGGTATGAAACAAGTACAGGGTTGTGCAGAATTCAGAATCTTGATCACCTGGTATATGTCCCAATTAAATATCAGTAGATAGTTAATCAAAAGTTGAGATAGGGACATGTGAGCCGTTTTGACCAATAATGAATAGTTTCAACGAAAAAATTCCTAAAGTTGAAAAATTACGATTTTTCACACCCTATATCTCTGTAATCATTTCCGCTAGACCCCAAGTGTGATACATCGATGAAATCAGCTCCTCAGAGAGAATCTGAAAATACAATAAAATACAGGGTGTTCCATTTAAAATAACAAAGTTGTTGCTACTTTTCGATAGAAGCGGCAATGCCGCAGAGCTGAAAATATTTTAGATCGATAGACCAAGAGCAACTACGTGAGTAACCAAAATTTCAGAATGATCCTATGTCCCGTTCTCCATAAACGTCTAACGTACCATCGACCATGAGTTACCCTGTATATAGATGAATATCTTCAGAACTAATCAAAACCAAATTAACTCATCGTTTTTGAAAATTTATATTCAACAGAATATTCAAAATGAATGAGAGAAACTTACCAGCCCTGTTTCAGAAATTGTATCTCAAATATCACCCTGTAAACCATCCCCGAATAGATGAAAATTATGTAAAATAATCGTTTCTGAGAATTTCTTTCTCAAAATATATTCAAAATGAAAAGAGAAAACGTATCTACCCTGTTTCAGAATTTGTATCACAAAACTCACCCTGGAAACCACCCCGGAATAGATGAAAATTATGTGAAATTATGTAAAATCATCGTTTCTGAAAATGTCTTTCTCACAATATAATCAGAACGAACAGAGAAAATATACCTACCCTGTTACAGAATTTGTATCTCAAAACTCACCCTGAAAACCACCCCCAAGTAGATGAAAATCACGTAAAATTATGTGAAATAATCGTTTCTGAAAATTTCTTGCTCACAATATCATCAGAACGATCAGAAAAAACATACCTACTTTATTTCAGAATTTGTATCCCAAAACTCACCCTGGAAACCACCCCCGAATAGATGAAAATTATGTAAAATAATCGTTTCTGAGAATTTCTTTCTGGAAATATATTCAAAACGAGAAGAGGAAACGTACCTACCCTATTTCAGAATATGTATCTCAAAACTCACCCTGGAAACCACCCCCGAATAGATGAAAATTATGTAAAATTATGTTAAATCATCGTTTCTGAAAATGTCTTTCTCACAATATAATCAGAACGAACAGAGAAAACATACCTACCCTGTTTCAGAATTTGTATCATAAAACTCACCCTGGAAACCACCCCAGAATAACTGAGAGTCATGTAAAATTATGTAAAATCATCGTTTCTGAAAATGTCTTCCTCACAATATAATCAGAACAAACAGAGAAAACATGCCTACCCTGTTTCAGAATTTGTATCTCAAAACTCACCCTGGAAACCACCCCCGAATAGATGAAAATTATGTAAAATAATCGTTTCTGAAAATTTCTTTCTCACAATATTATCAAAACGAACAGAAAAAACATACCTACCCTGTTTCAGAATTTGTATCTCAAAACTCACCCTGGAAACCACCCCCGAATAAATGAAAATTATGTAAAATAATCGTTTCTGATAATTTCTTTCTCACAATATTATCAGAACAAACAGAAAAAACATACCTACCCTGTTCCAGAATTTGTATCTCAAAACTCACCCTGGAAACCACCCCCGAATAGATGAAAATTACGTAAAATTATGTGAAATAATCGTTTCTGAAAATCTTTCTCACAATTTTATCAGAACAAACAGAGAAAACATACCTACCCTGTTTCAGAATTTGTATGTCAAAACTCACCCTGGAAACCACCCCCGAATAGATGAAAATTATGTAAAATAATCGTTTCTGGAAATTATTGGACGTATTAGGCTCCTCCCTACACTTGCCAACAGGTACAACCACCCCTTCCAGTGAAATAAACTCAGGTTTTGAAACTGATTTGCATAATCTTCGAGCAATATAGTCTCATTAATTGGTATTCAATTTTATTTTTATTTAGTATAATATTTTCATATATAGATTTGAAGTACAACTTCAATATATTCATATATGAATAATTTTCATTTTTCTTGGTACCTAGCATCAATTATCTCTGGAAGAATACTCTGTCTTTAGAATTTGATCAACTTGGGAATCATCTCATTCCATATATTTTCATTTCTGAAAATTCAACCAAACCATCAGGAGATGCACCAAAGAATGGAAAATTAGCATCAACAAAAAGTCCGAGAAGTGCCAGGGAGGTACATACAACCTGTTTAGGTGCGAAGGGCTGAGTGAGTCATGTGTACAATTTGACTAAACACGCAGCCACTCTAGCGACAACTCTAATCGCGAGATTTGAACAACGGAGATAGTTTCCAAGGAAGGTTTTGACATAAAAATTCTGAAAAAGGTATGTTTTCTCTCTTTGTTTAGAATATACTGTGGGGAAGACACTTCCAGAAACGATGATTTTACATAATTTTCATCTACTCGGAGGTGGTTTCCAGGGTGAGTTTTGAGATACAAATTCTGAAACAGGGTAGGTATGTTTTCTCTGTTCGTTCTGATAATATTGTGAAAAAGAAATTTTCTGAAACGATTATTCCATATAATTTTACGTAATTTTCATCTATTCGGGGGTGGTTTCTAGGGTGAGTTTCGAGATACAAATTCTGGACCAGGGTAGGTATGTTTTCTCTGTTCTGATGATATTGTGAGAAAGAAATTTTCAAAAACGATTATTTCACATAATTTTACGTAATTTTCATCTATTCGGGGGTGGTTTCCAGGGTGAGTTTTGGGATACAATTTCTGAAACAGGGTAGGTATGTTTTCGCTCTTCGTTTTGAATATATTGTCAGGAAGAAATTCTCAGAAACGATTATTTGACATAATTTTCATCTATTCGGGGGTGGTTTCCAGGATGAGTTTTGAGATACAAATTCTGAAACAGGGTAGGTATGTTTTTTCTTTTCGTTTTGGATATATTGTCAGAAAGAAATTCTCAGAAACGATTATTTTACATAATTTTCATCTATTCCGGGGTGGTTTCCAGGGTGAGTTTTGAGATACAAATTCTGTAACAGGATAGGTATGTTTTCTCCGAGGTTTTCTCTGTTCGTTCTGATTATATTGTGAGAAAGACATTATCAGAAACGATGATTTTACATAATTTTACATAATTTTCATCTATTCGGTGGTGGTTTCCAGGGTGAGTTTTGTGATACAAATTCTGAAACAGGGTTGGTATGTTTTTTCTTTTCGTTTTGAATATATTTCACCCCAATGAACTTAGCAGAACCACTTCAATATTTCGAATTTGCAATAGTACTATAATTTGTTACTAATTTAGTACTAATTTATCATCATAT